AACTTGTCCAGCGTCGAAAATTGCTATCCTGTGAACAACTGACAAAAAATCAAATCTTTTACCCTTCAAATCAAGTAGGATACAAAAATGTGCACATGGTTGTGTACGTTTTTGATCACATGATGATCAGTAGGTCCTGAGTTCGTGCTCGTGACAACATAATACACGGGTCTTTTTCTCCTCAGTGCCACAACACGAAGCTTTGCTTGGATTCCCTTGCAGTGTTGTCATTCCTACCTCTGGTGATCCTGGAAAATTACGAAAAACCTTATGACCGTTTTCAGCCTAGGATCATAGTCATTTTCAGAATTCTTTCACTGTTTCAAACAAGTAGATCACCATTCAGAGTTGAGCGAACAGTTAGATTCGAATCTGTTTTCATTTTTGATCGTGTTCATCGCCATTATCTGTTTATACAGTGGAACAAACTCGTGATTTACTAGTCGGCTGAGCGTCTGACTTGGAAACCGAGATGTTTCGAACCAAAGTTTGAGTCCTGGTCGAGTCAGTCGCTTTTCTTCTGAGGTTCATAAATGAGTATCTCTGTGTAAAGGAATCCTGAGGGAACCAAGCTAACAGCATAGCTAGTCGTCTCTGCTTTTAAAACAATATACTTCTCGCTGATGGCGTAGAAATGGGAATAAGCCCTCAGCGTTAAAAGATGTTAAAATGAACTCCAGAAATAGCTCCTTGAAAGCGTTGGGAAGACCGAAATCCCAACGGTTACAAACTTTTTTCTTCTTTCCTTCCTTTTAGACCGATCAACAACCTTTCTCGTTTTTTTCGAAGGTTGGATCGCGTGAAAATCAAACGAAAAGCATCAAAATGATTTGCTTCATGTCCGTATTGCAATACAAATTCTTTTCATTTTACTGTTTGTATATGTAATTTTTGTTTCTTGTGTATCTGTGGAGCATGAGACTTAGTACACGGTAGTCCTTATTCTACTTCTTTCCGGTTGAGTGCTTTCTTATTGCTGTTTTAACTGATAGGAGTTATGTTGAATGAGGGAAGGTTTAATAACTGGTTCGCGGTATATGTACAATTCGTTGGATACACAACGTATTGATATCTTTTTTCACTTCTTTTAAGAAAGAATGTGATGAAATCAGTCAGTTTCGATTACCGCTTATCCTTTCAAATCGCCGAGGCAGGCGCTTCAAGCTCTGTTTCAAACGTCAGAGCTTGAGCTTCTTCAGAAGACAGTCAGCGGGTTTGTGCAGGCCCATATCTATCATCCTTGGCCGTCCTCTGAGTTTTCGATTAGTCGTTTGAACAAGAATTCGTTGTTTTGCCTCCCTTTCTGAAATCATTTGCAAGACTTGCCCACACCATCGCAGCTGGATTGTAGTGATAAAATATTTTGTACAATTTTTGTCGATTCAACATCGATGATATAATGATGACGATAAAATAAGTATTTGATTAGTTTACTACCGGATCCTAATCCATCGTCAAGGTTGTGAAGAATGTCTTAAGTAAGTTTTTTGCTTATGTAACGCAGTTTTTGAACCTGACATAAGATGAGGGTATGTTTGAGGGATAGACTGAATATTGACGTTTCGGTCCATGTTTCACTGGTGATGCTGATGGTGACGTAAATGCTCTACAAGATCTTCCTCCAGAATCACATTTTTATGGCAGAAATTTATATAGATATCAAGCTGCCGGATGTGCTGTCGGTTCTCTACGGTGTCAGTATGCGTCATTCGCGTACGTAGACCTTAGAAATTTATTTTTTTAATGAAGTGTTACGAATCGGATACTGTTACGAAGTGTTACTCTACCGGATCATAAACGCGCTGTGTTCGTTCCAAAACACACTGAGATGATCCGAGTGGTAAAGTGCATAGAGCAGGGAACAGACAAGAGTATAGGAACTTTGATTTGTGTTCTTCTTGCGCCCACAATGAAAACAAGTCAGATGAAAAATCAGTTATTATTGGTTTTCTGAGTGTTACGTTTGGTTGATGTGCTTCAGCTTGATGGTAACTTACAAGCGACGAATTCGCAAAACATGATGGTTAGTTAGAATCTTCAAAATTGTTTGAGACCTTTGAGCCATTAATTGAATACATTGTATGCTTGAAACCTCTTTTCCTCTATCTTGAAACAGCACGTTTTCGTGTTGCAGATGTGGCGTTTAAGGCTGCAATGATAGGATTGTTGGAGGTTCTAGCTGTCGCCTTTACATGACTGTATCTTTTGTTTAACGAAAACGAGAAGAAACATGATACGGTTTCGGTGGATGATCACTTGTAGTCAGATGTTCAGTATCTCATAAAGTGCTGAAAAATGCCATCTGCGATGCAGCTGCTTTCATGAAATAGGGCTATGCCGCTTTATGACACATAATGCGTAAAGATAACCATTTAAGCAGCGAAATGAGATTCTGCAGCTTAAACTAATTATGAACCCTTTCCCAACTCAGAACATATTTTGCGAAGACACGTCGGGTGTAGTATAATATCGCTGCAGTCCATGGATGCCGGGTTGCTGGTAGTCTGGTTTCATAGTGATAAACTGGTTGGGCATGGTCGCAGGTGTCTTCGATCAATTGTATGCAGCTGAGTACTGTGCATCAGGATACCGACTTTATTGAAGCTTCCATTTGTGTCTATCTCTATCCTGCCTCAAGGAGATAAAGGAATCTACGGGTACCCAGCCAACAACTGTTCGTTTCTGCAACGGTCCTAATGACGACCGCACGCTTTTGATGATCGGTAGGGGGCAAGCCTTCGCTGCTCTAATGTTTGTTATACTGAATAACTGTGGCAAATGGTGATGGTACTAGTATAGTGGTGTCTTGCCTTGGTCATTCCAGGAATTTCATAATTTAAAGTTTTATCTTGCCGTTGTTGGTGTTCTTTTCCGGCGTAGGCATGAGTCGTACTTGTTCTTCTTTCAGAAGTATACAGCATGATTCAGAATCTATCCTGCTTTCTTGGGTATTTGTATTACAAGGACTCAATATAAGTCGTTAAAAATAGAATATCTTTCGAATAAAGGTGAACACACGCTTGTACATTGCAGTGAATGATCTGAATGGTCTTTAAACTTTGCTGAGGAGAGAGATTTTCAGAGATTCATATGCAGGAGTTTTTTTATCATACATTGAGCCGTTTAGATATAAATGATCTTTGCCACTTTTAATATTTCCATCTGGATATGAACTGTTTTACCTGACCTACAATGATTTTGCCTCGGTAGTCTTGGAGCAGGTGCTTAATTGAATTGGAGGACGGGGAGAGAAAACCAAGCTCTTTGCATTGCCATTTGCACTGACGAGGAAAATGCTATGAATAAATTTTAAAAAAATGATTCCTAATCCTTCATCAATACAGTATTTGTTGTTGACTGTCCTTTATTGATTGACCGTTACCATGCATGAGCGGTTTGCCATCATCATTGAAGACGACAGTTTTTTATTCATGATCATATTATTCGTTTGAGTGTAGATCACGGTAGATGCTGCAATGACTGGTTATGACTTATCATGCCCAGATATTCGGCAGATTTTTGCTACTGCCTTTGTACGAAAAGTGCGTTCCTTCGCATCACATCTTCATGATATCCTAATTGTTATCGGTTGTGTTTTCATTACATCAACCACGGTCTTAATTCTAAATGGTTCATTCCGCAGCCGACCCGCCGTGTTCATGAAACCGACTGCCTGATCGGTGTGTTTTAGTATTAATCTTTTCACTATCGTTTAGATGTCTATCTGAAGAGAACTGGATGCCCCCTGACCGGCCGATCAGTTGTTACGTCAATCGCATGCTTCAGCATGTGAACGCGATCGGCTGCTGTCGTAATTACTCGTTCTGTGCGCCGGATCTTAACGTCGAGCTGATACCTCAGTGGGAGGGGGCGAACGGTGCGTGTATGAGGCGAAGATACGACATCCGCATTTACTAATGGGATTGTTTCTCTTTTGATGTTTTAGACGAAGTGATCACACCGCACAGCTCCTTCAGCGACGGATGGCAGATCGCTCTGGTCGTGTGTTTGCCGCTGACAGGCTTCCTCATCGTCTGTATTTTGTATCTTTTGTTGAAGAATCATCTTAACTACAAAAGCAAGGCTCGAGAAGCGCAATGCGATCAGTAAGTCGAGTTGCGTTTTTCTGTTGCTCTCCCCCTGTGTTTTGCGAAATCTGTATTATGTAATACCTTTTAATCGGTAAACTGCATTTCTATCGCTATTTTTTTATTTGACAGTTTTGGTTAGTTATAATCATCTCTAGAGTTGATTATAGGGGTCCTGTTCTGTAAGATGCTTGTATTAATACGCATTTTTTAGAGTTACGCTGTGCTGATTATTTTACACCGGATAGTGCAAGACATCATAGTCACAGTATGTTTGATAGCGCAAGCTCCTAAGTCCAGATTTCACGGCATATTGCAGTAAATAATTCAAGATTCATCTGGCACATCAGATGCTCAAATGCTACCGAACTGTGATCAGCTTAAATTGACCCCTAGGCAACTAGGAGCAAAGGGTTGTTCGCTACGCCAGTAAATCCATTCTTGGATGAGTTATGTGTTACACTGGATAGTCCGCAATCAGATCCTTCAGGGCGGTATGCGTTAACAGTATAGTCCCTCACATCAGACAGCACGGCCAACCGTTCGTTCATAACCATACCGTAATATATTGATGGGTGTTTGTTGTTCGCAAGCCAGTGGGTTGCTGCTCATTTTTCGATTGGTTGCAGCTTCGGTGATCAAGGTAATTCGATGTTAAGACAGATTGCACCTTCTATGCTTTCGAACCCGGTATCTTCTGAGTTGGAAGCCACCGTCTTTGCCACTTGACTCCTTTTTCGTACGCTTTAGCATGACCACGCCAGAACACCATGTTTTCCATATTGTTTGCAGGATAATCAGTTGCTGCCCATTTTTCGGCCGGTTGTGCCGAGACAATAGAGTAAATTTTTTGCACAAGCGAATTGTAGATTTAATAAGAAATTTTTACGTTGCGCCTGCATTGGGACTGCACCTGGTGAAAAAAACTGCATCCACTGCCCCGATATGCCTTTAACGTTGCAGATGCTGATTATTATGAGTTGTGGTTTGCTTTAATGCCCCGTTAAAAATCCAGAAGCAGTGTAAAGGTCTCGCTCGCACGAAATCTGTTTTTGAAAAATCTATACATTTATTAGCTAATGATTTCATTATATAGCTTTACTTTCGTTGCCGTACGTAAGATATATGTAATTTTAGTTTTAGTGTTTTTCTAAGTTCACCAACAAAGTGTTAAAAGGCGAACACTACTTAACTGAATGCTGTAGTAGCTGGAAAAGTTGATAATGATCCTAAAAATGATCTGTTAGAGGCAGTGATATCGGAAGTTCACAAATTTTTCTACGATTTTAAGTCAGATGTGTCTTGGAGAATGATGCTTTAGGTACGGAAGGATGCGATGACAGTTTTCGTTAAACCCAGAAAAGCGAGTCATGATCTTTTCGTGGTATTTCTGTTCTGAGCGGAGGCTGATCACTCACCTGTACGAAGTATGCCGGAGCCGGACCAAATTTGAATTATGTCATCTGCAAAGGGCTAGGAAATA